AGCAGAAGTGATGGAATGTCTTTCTGACATTAGGTTACAAGAAGATTCTGGCTTCTCTCTTGTTCTCTTCCTATCTGCTGGGAGGGAAGCCAGATGTCAGCTTACACAATTAGGAGCCAGTTTCTCCAGCAACAGCCAACAAAGACTTGGTGGCTGCCCATGGCTCTGTAAGGGAGCTTGGAAGTGAGCCTCCCCAAGTAGAATTGTGAGAGCTGCCATGATCCTGGCCAGTCCTTTGCCTGTAGCTTCCTGATAGATCCAGAGCCCGAGGACCCAGCTAGCTGCATCCAGATTCCTGACCCACAGAAACCGGGAAGGAAATGTTTCTAGTTTTATGCCACTAGTTTTTGGGGTAGTTTGTTACAAAGCAATAGGTAACCTTCAAAACCATGAAGTAAATGTTTACAGATAACCATGGTATAGATATGCTATAATGCTTACACTAAATGTTAGTGATACACTAAATGTAGCAGTAATTAGAAACTGATAGCTGAACAAACAGACTACATATCTAGCCTCTATAATTGACATGGCCCTGTGACTAAGATGTGACTAACAGAATGTGACAGGTAATGTGTGGAGTTTTCAGATCAAGGCTATTAAAAAGGGGCCATGCATGCTCCTTGTTTTCTGGTAAAGACACAGAAAATTATAATAATGCTGGAATTACAAGATGGAAAATCCTAAGTAACCATGTGGAAGAGGGCTGCCCACTGACTAGTTCATTCATTTCAACTATTGTGTGAGAAATAAATTTCTATTGTCTTGAGTCATTACAATTTGGGGTTTATTTGTTATCATAGACAACTATGCTAATTAACACTCTTCTGTGAAAAAAAAATAAACATTCTGCAGTAAACCACTATCATTTTGAGACTGTGTCATATGAAGCCTAAGACATCCTTACTAATATTTATGGATATGTATATTAATATGTAATCCTTAAGTATATGTTAATACATCCTTATTAATATACTGTGTTGCCACCCTTCAAGGCCAGACAGGTTCATGGTATTCGTGCAGATGGAAAAATATTCACGGAGCCATTGGGATGTCTGGCATGCCTTTATTCATGGGTGAGCGAGCCAAGCATACAGCAAACTGTGTGTCTATCTGCATGTCTCATGTCATGGCCCCAGCTCCCCAGTGTGGCACCCATTGTAGCACCTGTCCCCTTGCATGTCTCTCATCATCATCACCCCCAGCAGGGGGTCTCTACCTGTTTAAGTACTAGAGGGGAACAAAACTGGAAAACTGCCAGAACATTACATAAGATAATTCTGCACATGTGAACCCATTTCATGTTATGGGAACAGTTTATCAGACCCAATCTCAAGGCTGTGAGAACACTGGTTATCAGGCCCCTCCAAGGCTATGGGAACACTGCTCCCCTTTGTTACCCAGACTCCTGGGTGAGGAAGTCAAGACTGCCTCCACTTACCATATATATATATATATATATATATACACACACACACACACACACACCCCTTAAGAATTTTATTTTTTTACCTATTTATTCCACAGTCATTAAGGTCTTTTTAAAATTTTTTTAAAGATTTTATTTATTTTTAGAGAGGGAAAAGGAGGGAGAGAAACATCACTGTGTGGATGCCTCATGTGTGCCCCCTACTGGGGACCTGGCCCACAACCCAGGTATGTGCCCTGAATGAGAATGAACAGGTGACCCTTTAGTTCGCAGGCCAACACTCAATCCATTGAGACACACCAGACAAGGCTCATTAAGGCCTTTTTTAAAATATGGTTCCTCTGACTGGAGTTCTGGGTAGTTTTTCTTGCTTAAACTATACTCCTAGTGCTCTGCACTGGATTTTCAATTTTATTTTGTTCAAAGTGGAAACAAGTTAAAGACTCTTGCAAAGCAAATTGAACAGACTCCTACTAGATTAGGGGCTTAAAAAAATTATACCTAACTCAATGGCTATTTTTATTAGCAAACATCTTGATCTGGTTTTTCCAAAGCATTCTTCTTGGTTTTCATAGAAACAATTCTTTCTCTTTGCAGACTCAAATTTTATCAATTTATGAATTTAATTACATTATCTCGAGAAGTACAATGAAAATAAACATATTAGAAAGAAATACAATTGACTCTTGGTAAGCATTCCACTCAGCTGGTGAAAGCAGGTATGCAGGGGTGAACCAAAATGAAGGCTACTAGCTGTGAATCGTCAGTATTTTAGAGGAATCAGTAGCCATATTCCAGAAAGGGAAATGAGAATACTAATTAAATGGACAGTGGTTAGGGAAGAGCTTTTACCATTTTCTGGCGACAGAGACTATAATTTTCATTTAATTTTCAGAGGGATCTCTGATTCCTAAAATGTTAAGTACCATACTATAGGTAAAAGCCCAATCCTTGGGGCCAGGTGGAGGAATAAACACTTTTTCTTCCTATGATCTACTTTTGAATACTTACTACCCACCTTTTCTTGAATACTACTTTCACCCTAAAAAATAAATTAATGCAAATAAATATTTTGCATAATATGAGCCAGCAGCCCACCAGTTCACCAAAAACACTCTGACTCTATAGCTCAGTTGAATGCATCTTCTCCATTTAGGTCAAATGTTCCCCCTTAGAGAAGCTGACTCTGACCCTGCTGTGTAAACAAATAGGACTCACCAATTTTGACCCCATTTACCTCTTGTCTTTTGGTTTTGTTTTCTTTATAGCATTTATCACTATCTGACATTGTACTATATATTTACTTGTTTAGTGTCCCTCCATTAGTATATAAACTTCATGAGGCAGGGCTTTATTTTTCCAACTCACCAATATATATTATGTGCATGGAACAGTAGCTGGCACGTCTCAGCCTTTCCATAACTACTTACCGAATAAACGACTGAATGGCTTGTTCACATGTTTATGTTGCAACCAGACCTGTAGGCAGGTGTTATAATCGCTTATCTCCGAATTTCTTGGCACTGGCTAGATACGACATAACTTTGCAAATAATGAATAAACAAATTATTCTTAACATTATTCCTGGGCAGGAAAATTTGCATCCTAGAATGCTCTATTAACACATTTAAAACTAACCTTTTAAAAAAGATTATTCTCTTGGGGTTAATTCATTACTACTTTGGAGTGGCAAGAATAGACTGCATATTTTCAAACCTTGGGAACGTATAATTTCAAGAATAAAAGACCACCTGTATATATTTAATGATACAATTCTCTGTATTCAGAATATTGTATTTAAAATTTGCTTATATTTTCAATGTCAAATTTCCCAATCTTTCAAGTCTATTACTTTTAAATGTAAAATTAATTAAAGGGAGAAATATATGTGTGGACTAAACAAACTACATAGGACAAACTACATAGGCAAGATTTATCCTGCAGCAGCCATAAATTTGGAACCTTTGTACTATATAAATACCTTTTAAACCTTCTTTTTTCTCAAATAAGAATATAAAAATCTTAATACAAAAAACTAAAGAATGACATAAGAATAACAAAGGAAAAAAGAAGAAATGTGATTCACAAAGGAGGCAATTTTACAATATGTATGTTGGAAACAAGGAAATTAAGAACTAAATTTAACCTTAATAGACAAGAACCACATTGTAGCTAAAAAGAAATGATAAAAGAGACAAAGTACAGTCAAAGCAAACATCCTGTGTCTAGCAGACGCTCTCCCCTGGGTAGGCTAGATAAGCAGTGCTTTGTAGTTTTTAATGAGAAAATAGAAAACTAGCTAGCTAGAGCCAGGAGATTACTAGGTTAATGAACAAACATCCTGCCTTCCCGCCTTATGAAAGAATGCTTGGTTTGAAATTCCCGCGCCCGCGGTCTTTGTAAGCGAATTACTAACTGCCACGTCTGCTTCTGTATAATGCTTGCTTACTCGCCCATATGTAAGAACGTAGTTGTAAGTGCTCGGCGCGGCTCTCGTTTGCAGCTCCTTGTGGGCACTGTGTCGCTGGACACTTTGAGTTCGCCCCTGCGCAGGTTAAACTTGGCCAATAAAGTAACATCTTTGATACCCTGAAAAGTCTCCGATATTTGTTCTCGAGTTTGCTGGATGCTACAATGTACAAGTATAAAATTTTGTTAATCTGACACTGATGTTATATACGGCGGGGTTTTTTTAAGTATAAGGTAAGCTACAGATACTGAAAACAACACTAATATGGAAGGTTCTGATTGTAGTCTAATAAGTTCCCCCTTAATTGCAGCACTTCTCTTGGTCCTACAAGAAAACAGAAATGGGTTCTCCCAAACTTAGTCATCCCCCATTTTCATGAATTTTCTTTCGTCGAGAGGAAACAAAATTAAAGGACTAGTCAGATCTTCTGATTGGTCAAGTCCGCCAGAGCAGTGGTTCTACACTGGACCAAACCTTAGAATCGCTCTCAAACACAGGCGCCTGGGCCTCCCATGGTTTCTGGTGCAGAAGGTAAGCGCGGCTGCGCGAATCCGCCTCTCCAGTCCCTCTCCCGCTGCAGCCGCAGCCGCCTGGGCGGGAGGATCGCAGCCCTACTGCGCCCAGGAATCCCCATCACAGGGGTGACCGCCGCAACGCACATTTAGCAAAGGCTGACAACCACAAAAAATTAAAACTACACACTCGCACACAAAAGCAAACTACAGCACTCCCGTGAGGCCGCCCAGGTTTGCCTGGCAGAGGTTTTCACCTCTTTCACTAGAGAGAGGAAATGCCCCCGGCCCGCTCCTCGTAGAAGCGTCACCTAATCCCCTCAGGGTGTAGCATCATTTCTAGGGACGTATTTACCATAAATACGGTAAACCTGCTTGGTACAAGACTGAGCTACAGACGTCAGTGCCAGTTACAAAGAAAACAAACAACCAGCCCCGAACGCGAGCTCCTGCGCCTAAATCAGTTCCCGCCCTGAAGGGGGGTGTGGCCAAGCGTGCGGCGGTCGCTTGACTGCGTCGAGCCCTTCTCCGTCGAGTGGCGCGATCCGCCGTCATATCAGCTTATGGCTCCGGCCCCTGATTGGCTGGCGTCTCCTGAACCTCTGAGCTAGGGTTCTGGCTCCGCCCCTCCAGGCTGCGCCCGCTATCCGGCTCCGGCATTGCGCAGACCCGTACGTCTTGTGACCCCGCGGCAGCCGGATGCAAGGTGCATCTTCTCCTAGGTAAGGATGGCAGAAGGGCGGGGAAGGAGGCGGACCGGAGCTGGACCGGAGAGTAGAGGAGGAAGAGGGCATGGAGAGAAACAGTCTGAGGAGGCCCAGTTGGGAAGTGGAGAGTGCACCTGGCCCCTTCTTTTCCAACGTGCCATAGACGTTTATTGAATGCCTGTTAGATGCCAGGCACGGGGTAGGAGCTGGGGTATAGGGCTCCTGCACCGACCCGTAGCACAAACTGGCGGTTAAGTGGACACCCTGAAAACCCAGGCTGAGAGGGCTGTGATGGGGCGGGGCGAGTGCGGGGCACTGGGCACTGCCTTGAGCTGGCCCCGGCTTGGAGGGAGGGGCGTTGCTGCCGGAGACTAGTTAGTGGCTGCTTCTCGGTTAGAGGAGGAATCTCAGAGCGAGAGGGGGCCTGGGCGTGAAGGAAACTGACACGGATGGACGTGAAGAACGTGAGGAACGGGAAATACTTGTTGGCTGTTGCGGATCCCTTATCCAAGGGAAGTCTGTCCACTGAACACTAATGCTTTACTTTGAGACGAATTTCCCTCTGTTCTTGGAGGAATACCTTTTCGTTTGTTTTTTGAGGAGCAAAGGAATTAGGCTGAAGAACTAACCATTATCTGTGACTTCTTGAACATTGCCATTCGAACTTCAGTTAGTGGAACATAATTAGGGTGGGGCGGGGGACAACAATCCACGGTTTGAGAAGATTAGAAGAAAAGGGAACTAATTTATTACGTTAGCTTCGTAGAAGGAAAAATCATGTCTACTAGCATTCCTGTGTAATAGCAGAGTAAATTTGGAGGTAATATAGAAGAAAAAATTACTTAGGTCAAGTTTCCAAATTGGACAGTTTGTGGTAGCTGGGTATTTTTAGCCAAAACTTGGTAGCTTACCAAGTCTTTGCATCACCTTCCTTTTTTTTTTCTGTTAACTTTGTAATGATAAACACCTACCGATAATAAGTACATGCCCCTTGATATTTAGAGAGTACTTTTCCATTCATTATGTATTGTAATTAATATTGGATACTCAATTCCCCAGCTGCATATATAATAATATACTGAGAAATAATATAATGATAAGTAAGTGAACAGACTCTGGAGTATACATAGCAGCTGTTACTTGTTACTGAACAAGTTATTTAGATACTTTTTACCTCAGTTTCTCCATCTAGAAAATGGAGGCTATAGACTACCTACCGCATAGGGTTATGCTAATTAAACAATAGAATACATGAAGCGCTCTTTAAATAACACTTGGTTCTTAATGTTAGCTATTAACTATACTTTTAAGGTCAAGTAAAGTAACTGTAGACTCAGTTATTCTAAGCCTAATTTTGTTTTACTGATAACTATGTTTTAAGAAAAGTTTTGTTTTTTGCAAAGGTAAAGTAATATTTACTAAAGGTTCTATTTCTGTCAGGGTCCTCCACTTAGGGTTTGTGGAGCCCCTGAGTCCAGCCCTTTAAAATTATATGAGCTTGTAGGATCACTGAGAATTTTAAAAATTGAAGAGTCGAAGAGATGAGAGTGACAAAGAGGAAGTAAAGCTTGGTTAAAGTCAGTGGATTTAGCATTTATCACTCAGTGACCTTGGGCAAGTTAGTTGGATTTCTGTGCCCAGCTTCATCTATAAAATAAGGATAATATTAGTACCTAAGTCTTGGGGCTTCTTGAAAGGGTTAAATGAGTTAATGTTTACATTACCTAGTATATAATAAATATTAATATTTCTACTATTACCAATGATAAATTAGCTATTAGTTATTTTTTAAAGAAAAGTCAAATGACACTTCTTTATGCACTTTTTTTTTTTTTGCTTAGGTTAAGGTAGTTTGGACTTAACTTTGCCTTCCATTACAGTAATAATTAAAATAACTCCTATTTATTGACTACTTTCTCTGTGTCAGATGATGCCCCAAAACTATGTACCTAGTCTCTGAATCGTACAACATTCTATAATGTAAATATGTTACTGCCAACTTATAGATGTGGATTTGAATTTAAACTTCAAAATTTGAATTGCAGTTTTGAAATCATATTGCTATTGATTTCAGAAAATTTTATGTTAGATGTCAATGTATTCATGAATACCTACTTACTACATTCAACAAATAGAATAAATTGAAACCAGAATTCTAAAAACACTTAAACCAGGTTTAATTTCATAGTATGTAAACTGTATGCAGGTTGACTGAGGTACATTTCTCCTCCCTTCCAGACACTGGTTTACTGTAAGAGCAGTTACATACAGAGAACATACAAATTAATTCAATTAGCATGATACCCAGGAAAAAGCAAAATTAAAGAGTTTTTTTAAGTTAAGGATTGAGATTTTAAGGTTTTTACTTACATCTGGTATTAAAGATTGAATAAAGAAGATTCTTTGTTAATGTTTCTTTTTGTCTGCATTGTACTATCTCAGGTACTATATGGACTTGGGGCTGTGTGGCACCGTAGGTAACGCAGAGTAGTCCATCAACTCATATCAACCTTTAGTGGGGTGGCAATATCCTTTTCAATTGTTAGTTTCTTCTTAATGTTTCCATTTCTTGGTTTTACTTACTTAGTGTACTTCCCCTGCTACATTGCCTGCCTTGACAGCCTCTACCCCTTATTACTTATGATCCCAACTACTAGGATCATTGTTGAATTTCAGATTCCTATTTGCATGTAGGCTCCTGCTTATGTCAGCAGCCGAGATGAGCCACAGGCAATTAGATTTAAGCCCCATGCTGACCCCATCATTCCTCACCTACCCCCATCCGTGTCAAACCCAATCTATTAGCTCTCCCAATAGTCCCCTTTTTCGTTTGTCTGACAATGGAGTGAAGGTACAGTCCCCCCAACTGAGAAGGTATATTAAGACTGAAGAATGAAAGCAGGCAACTTTATTAATTATAAAAGAATTAATTGTATAGTAATTTACTTATGGAAAGATTTGGTTGGAACGGACAGACAACCCAGCACTCTATGCATATTATTCTCCACTGCTAGACAGTTGTTATAGTAAATGTTTTTTGGTACAGCTGAACTGCTAATGACTGACAAGACAAAGGTACGAAGAATGTAGTAGGAGCCAGGAGCCATAGCTCCTTGCGGTCTTAGGATGGATAATTGCTTACAGTTGACACCAGCATGTAGTTTGATAAAGATCTCAGCTGCTATGCCCGTCTGGCCTTCACTGACAGGAATCTTTATGGCTACATTGTGTAAGGCTATGGGTCACAGCTAATTGCTAACTATGAGGCTTTGGTGCTGGCTGAGACTAGTTAGGTCAGGGTTCAGAACACGTGTACTAACTAGAAAGATATCAGGGCACACAGATATGGAATCAGCTCTTTTTACATCTACACCTGTACAACATTATAGTGACACCATCATCCACTCAGGCAAGCTAAGAACACCATAGTCACCTTATATTTTTGTCTCTCTTGCATTCCAGTATCTAACCAGTTATCAAATCCTATGGGATTTTTTACTTGCTAAATCTCTGATGAATATGTCTGTTCTCTCACCTTCTTTGGTTTAGTCTACCGCAAGAGCAACCAAACTAGTCTTCCTGCTTCTCATCATTCTCCATATTCCTAATGGAATGGCTTTTTTGAAACATGGGTATGACTATACCTCTTTCCTGCTCAAGTATCTTTGATTTCTTCCAATCATGTATGGAAGTCCAAGTTCCTCACCAGGACATCAGATCCCTGCACAGTCTAACACCAGTTTCTGTCTACCAGGCCTGTCCTTGAGCACTTTCCTTTCCCCTGTATCCCATCACCCTGTTGGTCACCCAGTGGCCACACCCCGTGAACCATGACTGTCCTTCAACCTTTCTGTGCCTTTGCAGTTGTTGTTGTTTGAAGTGGCTGTTCCTGACCTTTGCTTTATGGTAATGTCCTTGAAAGCCCAAATCAAATGTTTTCATTATGTGCCTTCTACTGTAAGCTGAGGTAGTTGTGTTGTCTTTTCTAATTTCATAGAATTTGGTTATATACCTTTATTAAAGCACTTGTCATATTAATATAATTATTTGTTTCTGTACTTGCTTTACCATTAAGATGGATTTAGATAATGTCTTTTTTAATTATATTTTCTTGATTATGCTATTACAGTTGCCCCAATTTTACCCCCTTTGCCCCCCTCCACCTGGCACTTCCCACTCCCTTAGGCAATCCCCACACCATTGTTTATGTCCATGGGTTGTGCATATAACTTCTTTGGCTACTTCATTTCCTATATTATACTTTACATCCGCATGGCTATTCTGTAACTACCTATTTGTACTTCTTAAACCCCTCACCTCTTCATCCATTCCCCCATACCCCCCTCCCATCTGGTAACCATCAAAATGCTTTCAATATCCATGGTTCTGTCTCTGTTCTTGTTTCCTTAGTTTGTGTTTTAGATTCAATTGTTGATAGGTATGTATTTATTGCCATTTTATTCATAGTTTTTATCTTATTTTGCTTAAATAAGTCCCTTTAACATTTAATATGATAATGGTTTAGTGACTATAAACTCCTTTAGTTTTTTCTTGCCTGGGAAGCTCTTTACCTGCCCTTTGATTCTAAATGATAATCTTTTGTAAGTAGAGCAATCTTGGCTGTAGGTCCCTGCTTTTCACGACTTGGAATATTTTTTGCCAGTCCCTTCTAGCCTGCAAAGTTTCTTTTGAGAAATCAGCTGAAAGTTTTATGGGAACTTCCCTGTAGGTAACTAACAGGTTTTCTCCTGCTGCATTTAAGATTCTTTCTTTATCTTTGATCTTTGGCATTTTAGTTATGATGTGTCTCAATGTGAGTTCATCTCTTCGGGTTCATCTTGTTTGGGACTTTCTATGCTTCCTGGACTTGTATGTCCATTTACTCTACCAAGTTAGGGAAGTTTGCTGTCACTGTTTTTTTCAAATAGATATCCATTTCTTGCTCTTTCGTTTCTCCTGGCATGCCTATGATGCGAATGTTGGAACGTTTGAACTCGTCCCAGAGGCTGCTTGAA